TTCTTCCTGGCGTATCCTAACCAGGGTCTCCTGGAAATAATGCCTAAAGCTGGTGGTTTTCAAATGTGGTCCCTGGAGGTTTGGTTTGGAACCATTGCAAATCACAATGGTTCCATTTCTACTTTTATTTGTTTATTTAAAATCTTGGCCTTTGAAGTATGGATGGGAAAAATGGCTTTGCTGCTACAAAAGAGAAAAAAATTGGGAAAAGGAAAACAAACTCAAAACCAACCTGCTCTGAACTCTAAAAGAGATGATCCTACTGTGGTTCCAAGGCCCAGGAATTAGTCTCCTGGAAGGATACTCAGGGACTTCAGGGGAGAGAGGGGCTCTGACAGTCTTTGTTGTTATCCTCTAAGCTCGATGAACCAGCATCGAGTGGGAGGTGGGAAGCTTTGGCGGTGCCAGGGCCAGGCTGGGCGGCCCCTGTCTGGGACTGGCATGAGAACATATGTTGGCCAAGGGTGGCCCATAGAGTTCTCTTCTGCTTTTAATGACAGTTGTTGGGGGCCGGGGGAGGAGACATGTGTTGAAAGCTGAACTAGGCTGGGTACCTGCATTCTCTCATTTAACCCTAACAACCCTCGGGTGGGATGTACCATTTTTTCTCCATTTTAGAAATGAGACCTAAGCCTCAGAGACTGTGTCTAGTCTGAAGTCTTAAAGTGGGGCTGGTAGAAGCAGAATCCAAGCTCCCAAGGCCTAGGACCCCACACCACCCTGGGACAAGTGGTCATTCCTCGATGCACTAGGCGTGCTCACCTGGATGCTGAGGTGTGACCACTAGGTGGCGACAGAGCCTCACAAAGAGTTCCCAGGATTCCGGTCAGGCAGCAGCCTGAGATGTCAGCCGGCACCGCAGCAACCCCGGACTCTTGGACCATCGGAGCAGGGCCATACTCCCTCTCTAGGCCCCGCCTTTCATGCCCCAGCATGTGGGAGAGCGGGTTCTGCTGGGAGCCTGGCCTGGATCTAAATTGCAGCTCTGCCACTTCCTGGCCTCTTGTGCCAAGGATGCATCTGAGCATCAAGTTTCTCATCTCTAAAACAGGAGTGATGACGCATGTCCGGGGCTTGCGGATGAGAAAAAGACCTGGCAATGGATGGGTTTGTGGTAATTAAGACAAAGGGAGCATGCACTGCTTGCCAAAGAGAGGTCTCCTGGGGTGTTTTTAAATGGCCAACATTTAAACCCTGAAGCATTTTACATAGAAACCCTGAATTTCTAGCTTCTTTTGAGAAGAAGCTGCATCCCACACAGCTGCATCTGCTAGAGCCATACCCTCCAAGCTACCACAGTCCCCACCACTCTCTATTGGGCCTCATTTCCCCCAAGTCTGTCAGCTCACTCAGCCCCTTGGGCCTTGAAGGCAGGGGAGTTTGCTCCTCAGACAAATCTTGGAAGTTAGGAACAGTGCAGTCTGTCCCCATTCTGGGGCAGGTAGGGCTTGGGTGGGTTTTTGTGTATTTCCCTCGGGCCTGGAAGGGAACCTCACCACCTGTGACTCCCGCTGGGCACCCCCAGGAAGGAGGGCATGGAACCCAGCTGCTCCAGGCCTGTACATCCCTGCTGGGGGCCGCGGTGGGCAGACCGCAGACCAGCCTTGGTTTGCCTCCCTGGCTCTGAGGCTTTGGAGGCCAGAGCTCGCTACTGACTGAGGAGGAGATCTCATTTTGAGGCTGGGATGGCCTCCTGGTCCCATCAGCCACTTGTCAGCTGGGCCTGTGCCCTCTGTTAACCCCAGCATGGCTTCCTTGTATACCGATGGAGTCTCCCCTTCCCCAGATCCCGCGGAAATGCTCATGAGCCATAGCTCACATCTCAGCTCAAACATCACCTCTTCCTCCAGGGAGCCTTTCCTGGTCCTCTAAGCAGAACCAGCCATCTGCTGCTTCTTCACTGTGCCCACAGCATGCACTGGCGTCTCCTGTGAGACCTATTTTATCCTGCTCAGGCAACAGGTGCTTATTTACATGTCTGCCTTTCTCCCTGGATTGTGTTTTCCTGAACGCCGCGGCTCCTACACCCAGCCCAGGACCCACACGAGGTGCTTGTAAGCAGCTCCTGGCAGGAAAGAACTCTCGCAGGAGGCCCCCTTTGTCTTGTCACTAATCTTAAACTTGCACCCCCATGCTCTACTCATCTCCAGCCCTAGCACACCTTTCAGATCTTTTGATCGCATGATACTCTGCCCAATCTGTTGGTTCTTTCCATAGATCACAGAAGTAGACATGAATAAGTAATTAACAGATGCCCAGATCTCTTCCCTAGCTTCCCCCTTCAGTCATCTCACAAACAAACTGTGTAAGCCAGATAGCATCTAAAGAAAAATCAAAAGAAGTCGACAAGTCTGCACATAGTCGGAGATGGTGATGACTGTGACACCCCCCCCCCCCGTCTCAATGATTAACTGAGACTGCTTCCGTTTTTCCCTTTGAAAACTTTCACGGCCAAGAGGAATCTTCAGATGTGGTTTTTGGGGGACACTGAGTCCACCATCTCCCCAGATTGCCAGCATTCTGATTAAAAGCAACTTTCCTTTCTACCAACATTTGCCTCTCTCTCGATTATTGATTTTTGAGCGGTAAGCACCTGGCCCTGATTCAGTAACAATGCCTGAGAGACGTTTCTGAGGTGAGTGAAAGCGTGCAGTGTTGGGGCAAAAGCAGGGCTGCCCAGAGAAAAGTATTTGGATGCAAAACCAATTTTTTTTTTTTTTTTTTTTTTTGGCTGCGCTGCATGGCACGTGGTATCTTAGTTCCCTGATCAGGGATCAAACCCGCCCCCTGCATCAGAAGCTCGGAATCTTAACCACTGGCCCACCAGGGAAGTTCCCGCAAAACCATTTTTAATATGAGACTCTTAGAGACTTGGGCCCTTTAGGATTTGGGGCTGAAGGGCACTAAATATGTGTCACCAGGCTTGGCATGAGGATCCTGGCAGGAACATCCTTTACTTGGTTCCTCCCATTGGTAAGAGAAGGGGCCGGGGGCCTCCCCAGGGCCACCTGCTAACTCTCACCTGACTCCCTGACAAGGGCTGGAGATGGCAATTCTCTGGGTTCCTGATTCATTCCTCCCATCCTGATTAAGACAACAGCAGAGCGTTCCAACATTCCTACCAACAACACACCTCTCTACCAAACCAACAGCTAACATCGGTGTGGGAAGGGCAGGGAAGGTCCCCAAGCTCTGGACAGAGCCCAGCTGCTCCAGAGTCTGGCTGTCACCTTCTGTCCTTCACCTGCCCACGTACAGGCTCAACTTGCCAAGTGCTTTCTCAACCCTCAGCCCCCAGGAACACCCCTGGAGGGACGTGGTGCTGTCATGCACAGCACACCGGGGAGAACACGGAGGCAAGAGGTGGAGTAACTTGGCCAAGCCCAGATGTGTCCGACGCCTCAGGCTTTATGTAGGGCTGCCCTGGGCCCTGCCCTGGCCCTGCACCTGGCTCTCTCTCCTCTGCACTTCACCCATGACCAGCAGCCCCAGGAACAGAGGTGTTAGGAGGCCCTGGCTCCAGGGAACTCAGAGGCTCCCGGGACATCCATGGTACCTGCTGTCCTAACCTGGCTGGTCTTCCCTCCAGCCACCCTCTGTCGTGAAACCTTCTTCTCTGGTCGCTGCCTTTTCATTGTCCCTCAGGCTTGTCGCTGCTGTTCTCCCAGCCTGCCGGCCCACTGCTCTCCCTGATCACACAAATTCTTCAAGACCCCTTGCAAATGGCTCCTTCTCCAGGAAGCCTTCGTGGGTTAGCTAGCACTTCTCAGACTCACCTAGAGGCCCCCTAAAACCGGTGGCTGGGCCTGACCCCAGAGCTTCAGAGCACATCTGAAGATGTGCATTTTTCTAACAAGTTCCTGGCTGCTGTTGCCGCTGTTGCTCTGGGGCTTCACCTCGAGAACCACTGGTTTGCACCAATGGTTTTCAACTGGGTTTGTTGGAGGTGTATTGGGGGCCTTCGTGAGAGTTTGTGTGAAGGAGGAAACTTTGCTCCCCCCACAGCCCTGCAGGGCAGCTTTGCTTCTGTGCGTTTAATATGATGGAGTTCCATGTAAAGTTTTGATTGAAGAAGGGATTTAGTTACTGGGAAAAAATGCTGCCCTTCACTCACCCTGATCAAATGTGCTCTCGCTTCCAGAGGGGAAGGGCTGGCCTCTGGATGTGGATCTCTCTCACACCCTATGTTTTCCCCAAGTAAAGGCTCTCCTTCCACGGGAGGTTCTATGTGATTTTAAGTGTAACACAGACAAACATTTCTCACTCGAGGAGCTACTTTTATAAGTATTATAAAAATATTTATAACTAAAATAATTTTTAAATGTTAATAGTTTAGAATTCATTTTACTGAGAAGTAGGAGAAAATTCTAACATGTTGAACTAGCAGAGCTGTGATTTCACAGATGCTGTTACTCAAGCTGAAGCTAAATTTAAAAAGTGAACAGATTTAAAGCCGACGTAAGGTAGCGTGTTAGGTAACAGCCCAGCTGACATACTGATAATGTAAAAATCAGGGTGATGGTTGGAAAGACTGCAGTTTAGGAAAAACTGTCCTTTAGAACAGTTTGAAAGTCACTTGAGGAGTCCTGCTCCCTCCGTGCTCTGGAATATCTTCCCCTTGAGTTCCATGCTCATCTCCCCGTTTTCTTTCTTAAACTAATACAAGATTAGGATGACGTTTTGAAAAGGGCATCTCGTTAAGCAGCCTCATCCCCACTGGAGCACAGGCTCCGGCCCAGTAGCCAGCTGGCCATCTACCTTATGGTAATGAGGTGTCATCTCCCCACGGGGTCTGCCTTCCGCCCTTCCACTCCTGCCTCTTCCTCCGAGACCACCTCTCTCGCTCCCACCCGCCACTCTGTGCCAGCGGAAAGTGTGTGTGTGGGGGGGGGCAGGGAGAGGCGGCACCAAAGCCGCCCTGGCATCTTCTCCTAGTGCTGGAAGCAGGCGCGAAGATGCGAGGGGGGCTTGTGCAATGGGGGCGGGACTTTGGTCCTCACCTGTACACCGTGGTCGGCGGGGAGCTCAGGCTGTCGTAGATGAGCCTCACGTGGCCCTGGTACAGCTCCAGTGCCAGGGGGTCATTGTCTCCCTTGTAGAGAAGGATGCCGTTGTCCTTGTCCGTGGCCACCTGGAGGGAGTCATGAGGGTCAGGGCTGCCCTGAGTCCCCACCTCTCCCGTCCCCGCCTCACAGAGCCCTCTTCCAGGCGGCCTCTTCTGAACGAGCCCTGGATCTGAATTCATGTCCGTATTTCCTCCTTCATCTAGTCTGTTCATTTCCATAAGGAAGGCTTATACTTAATGCTCCAGGAAATGCTGATTGAGCAATTCAACAAATATCTATGGAGTCCCCTTTATGTGCTGCTATGTTTTTATGTACGTGTGTGTGTGTGTGTGTGTGTGTGTATATATATATATATACATATATAAAAATGCCTGGAGCCCTGAGCTCTGATCTAGCCTCTTGGGGCCTTGGTCTCTCTGTATAAAGTATAATAACAATTATAAACAAAATACTACCCGTTACCACTTAATTCTGTGTTTACTATGAACCAGGCAGTGTGTTAAGTGTCACCTAGGGACTTTTTTAAAACACAGCATCTGGGCTTTACCTCAAACCACTTGCATACAGATCTCCAGAGGTCAGACGCAGACAAAGATATGAAGTGCCCCAGGAGGTTCTAAAGTGTTGCCAGGCTGAGAAGCACTGGTCTCAAAGCTGCTGCCCAGAGGGCGTCTGTTTGCCAGGCACGGGGCACCAGGGTGGGGCTCTCTGACCAGCCTCTTGGCCCCACTGCCTAGCCCAGGAGCAGCTGATGTCGGCCTGGGGCCAGACCTCGGCGGAGCCCAGGTCCACGTAGGAGCCCTTGCCCATGAAGCTGACGGGGAGCAGGGGCTCTGACAGGACACTGGGCTGTCCGGGGCACTGGGTGCTGCTCTGGTTATTGGGATGTAACACTTGCGTCCCTGGGTGTCTGGGACTGAGGGACGAAGGCAGGACGGCGACGAGGGGACCAGGGGCGAGGGCAGTGATGGCAACCAGAGCTTCTTTCTTGTGTGTGCCTGGGGTCAACCCCCATCTCAGAGGCTTGCCCGCTGGACTGTAGGCCCCACAAGGTGAGGCCGTGTGAACGTTCATACATCTCTGCAGCCCCAGTGCCTTGAATGGTACTTGGCATGGGTGGATGCCCAGTGGATCTTTGTTGAATGAATATTTTCTCCATAAGCTTAAACCTGGGCTAGTGTGGCCATAACCAGGAGGAAGAAAGCATTAGCCTTACCTAATGCTATGTGGCGGAACCACTAACTGGCCTGCACCCTCTAGCTGTGTCTCTGGGGTCCCCCCTGCCCACTGAGCCTACAGGCAGGGGCCTGCTCTTTATCATACCCCTTCCCTTCTCCCTCTGCCCCCCAACAGCATCGAGGTCACCCAGAACTGTAGTCTGGAAGAACTAGTCAGGTCCATAGGTAAGGAACTCGACAGAAGTTAGTTGGAAAAGAATTTGGTTCATACTGAACGGTTTCCTGTTCCCCGAAAAATGCCCTGCTCCCTTGTGCCTCTGGGCCTTTGCACATGCTGATCTCTGAGGCTCGAATGCACCACCCCCCTTCATCCTGCACCATCAGCCCCTCACCATTCTGCCCTTCTCCAGGCAAACTCTTACCCATCCTTCAGATCTCAGCTTAGTTCTCATTGCCTCTGGGGAGCCTTCCCTGATTCTTCCCAGTAGGCTGGTATCACTGCCCCGCCCATGTGCTCCCACAACACCCAGGGTTGTCATCCTGCCCTGGGCAAGGGGCTTTGCCTGTCTTGTCCACCATTGAATCCCCAGTGCACAGTGTCTGGCATGTAATAGTTGAATGAATATTTCCTGGAGAAAAGAATGAATGAGGCTGGAGTGGGGGCTGCTCTTTGCAGTGAGAGCTGGTCAGGAGCTGTCTATAGAACCCTCTGGACAGAGCTGGTCCCGGTCTCCCCAAGCTGTGAGTTGTCCCTTATGATGTGTAGGGAAGGGGGCAGGACTGCTGTGATCTGGGGTGTCCCATCTGTTCTTGGAACAATCAGGGCTTGGGGGCATGTTAGGGTCCTTCCAAGGGCTGGGTGGGTGGGGCGCACCTGCAGGGAGATGTTGGCCTGGGGCCGGACCTTGGCGGAGGCCAGTTCCACGTAGGAGTCCTTGCCCACGAAGTTGACGGTGATGAGCTTCTCGCACCTTGGGCCAGCGAAGCCCGGGGGGCAGCGGCAGGTGGGCTCCTGCTGCACCACAATGCACTGGGCCCCGTTCTGGCACTCGTACTGGTCGCAGGGGCTTGTCTGTAGCAGGACCATGGGCGGGGGGTGCTCGCAGTAGAGCCCGCTGGGAGGGAGGAGAGGAGGATGGGGGCAGGGAAGATGGGGAACGGTGAGAGGAGACATCAAGTTATTTAGGCCAAAGAGCCCCTAGCAGAGACCGTGGCATGAGAGGGAACTGAGACTAGTTCCAGCCCTGCTAGTGACTGGGGCAAGGCCTGATCCTTCTCTAAGCCCCAGATTCCCCCCCCCCTTTTTTTTTCCCCCCCAGTACGTGGGCCTCTCACTGTCGTGGCCCCTCCCGTCACGGAGCACAGGCTCCGGACGCACAGGCCCAGTGGCCATGGTCCACGGGCCCAGCTGCTCCGTGGCAAGTGGGATGCTCCCGGACCGGGGCATGAACCCGCGTCCCCTGCATCGGCAGGCGGACCCCCAACCACTGCGCCACCAGGGAAGCCCTCCCATTTTTAAAATAACGGGGTTGGACTAGAGCACAGGTCCTCAATTTCAGCGTCGTCAGAATTGCCTGCAATGAATTTGTTGAAAGTGCATATTCTCATCCAGCCATGGATCAGTGGATAAGCAAAATGGGGTACATACACACAAGGGAATAACACTCAGCCTTGAAAAGGGCATTCTGACACATGCTACAGTATGGATGCACCTTGAGGAGATTATACTAAGTCAAAGAAGCAGATAGAAAAAGACAAATGCTGTCTGATTCCACTCATATGAAGTACCCAGAGTGGTTAAACTCATGGAAACAGAAAGTAGAATGGCGGCTGCTGGGGGACTTCGCTGGTGGTCCAGGGGTTAAGACTCCATGCTTCCAATGCAGGGGGCGTGGGTTCAATCCCTAACCAGGGAACTAAGATCCCACATGCCACGTGGTGCGGCCAATAAATTAAAAAAGAATGGTGGCTGCTGAGGCCAGGGGAGGGGGAACAGGAAAATGTTGTTTAATTGGGTACAGAGTTTCAGTTTGCTAGATAAAAAGAGTTCTGGAGGACTTCCCTGGTAGCGCAGTGGATAAGAATCTGCCTGCCAATGCAGGGGACATGGGTTCGATACCTGGTCCAGGAAGATCCCACACACCGCGTAGCAACTAAGCCCGTGCACCACAACTACTGAGCCTGCGCTCTAGAGCCCGCAAGCCACAACTACTGAGCCCATGTGCCCGAGAGCCCACATGCTGCAACTACTCAGCCCGTGTGCTGCAACTACTGGAGTCTGCATGACTAGAGCCCGTGCTCTGCAACAAAAGAAGCCACCACAATGAGAAGCCCATGCACCGCAACGAAGAGTAGCCCCCATTAAGAGAATTCAGCACCACCAAACCAGCTTTACAACAAATGCTAAAGGAACTTCTCTAGGCAGGAAACACAAGAGAAGGAAAAGACCTACAAAAACAAACACAAGACAATTAAGAAAATGGTAATAGGAATATACATATCAATAATTACCTTAAATGTAAATGGATTAAATACTCCAACCAAAAGACGTACACTGGCTGAATGGATAGAAGAATAAGACCTGTATGTATGCTATCTACAAGAGACCCACTTCAGATCTAGGGACACATACAGACTGAAAGTGAGGGGATGGAAAAAGATATTCCATGCAAATGGAAGTCAAAAGAAAGCTGGAGTAGCAATTATCATATCAGACAAAACAGACGTTAAAACAAAGACTATTACAAGAGACAAAGAAGGACACTACATAATGATCAAGGGATCAATCCAAGAAGAAGATATAACAATTGTAAATACGCACCCAACATCGGAGCACTTCAATACGTAAGGCAAATGCTAACAGCCATAAACGGGGAAATCGACAGTAACACAATAATAGTAGGGGACTTTAACATGCCACTTTCACCAGTGAACAGATCATCCATAATGAAAATAAATAAGGAAACACAAGCTTTAAATGACACATCAGACAAGATGGACTTAATTGATATTTATAGGACATTCCATCCAAAAAAACAGAATACACTTTCTTCTCAAGTGCTGGTGGAACATTCTCCAGGATAGATCATATCTTGGGTCACAAATCAAGCCTTGGTAAATTTAAGAAAATTGAAATTGTATCAGGTATCTTTTCCAACCACGATGCTATGAGACTAGATATCAATTACAGGAAAAAACTGTAAAAAAATACAAACACATAGAGGCTAAACAATATGCTACTAAATAACCAAGAGATCACTGAAGAAATCAAAGAGGAAATCAAAAAATACCTAGAAACAAATGACAACGAAAACACGACGACCCAAAACCTATGGGATGCAGCAAAAGCAGTTCTAAGAGGGAAGTTTATAGCAATACAAGCCTACCTCAAGAAACAAGAAAAATCTCAAGTAAACAACCTAAACTTAAACCTAAAGCAATTAGAGAAAGAAGAACAACCCCCCCCCCGAGTTAGCAGAAGGAAAGAAATCATAAAGATCAGATCAGAAATAAATGAAAAAGGGCTTCCCTGGTGGTGCAGAGGTTGAGAATTCGCCTGCCAATGCAGGGGACATGGGTTTGATCCCCGGTCCAGGAAGATCCCACATGCCGCAGAGCAACTAAGCCTGTGCTCCACAGCTACTGAGCCTGCGTTCTAGAGCCCGTAAGCCACAACTACTGAGCCTGTGTGCCGCAACTACTGAAGTCTGCATGCCTAAAGCTCGTGCTCTGCAACAAGAGAAGCCACCGCAGTGAGAAGCCTGAGCACCACAATGACCCAATGCAGCCAAAAATAAATAAATTTATTAAAAAAAGAAATAAATGAAAAAGAAATGAAGGAGACAATAGTAAAGATCAATAAAACTAAAAGCTGGTTCTTTGAGAAGATAAACAAAATCAATAAACCATTAGCCAGACTCATCTAGAAAAAAAGGGAAAAGACTCAAATTAACAGTATTAGAAATGAAAAGGAAGTAACAACTGACACTGCAGAAATACAAGAGAGATTACTACCAGCAACTATGTGCCAATAAAGTGGACAACCTGGAAGAAATGGACAAATTCTTAGAAAAGCATAACCTTCCAAGACTGAACCAGGAAGGAATAGAAAATATAAACAGACCAGTCACAAGCACTGAAATTGAAACTGTGATTAAAAATCTGCCAGCAAACAAAAGCCCAGGACCAGATGGCTTCACAGGTGAATTCTATCAAACATTTAGAGAAGAGCTAACACCTATCCTTCTCAAACTCTTCCAAACTATAGCAGAGGGAGGAACACTCCCAAACTCATTCTACAAGGCCACCATCACCCTGATACCAAAACCAGACAGATACTACAAAAAAAGACGTCACAAAGAAAGAAAACTACAGGCCAATATCACTGATGAACATAGACGCAAAAATCCTCAACAAAATACTAGCAAACAGAATCCAACAACACATTAAAAGGATCATACACCATGATCAAGTGGGGTTTATCCCAGGAATGCAAGGATTCTTCAATATACGCAAATCAATCATCGTGATACATCATATTAACAAATTGAAGGAGAAAAACCATATGATCATCTCAACAGATGCAGAGAAAGCTTTCGACAAAATTCAACACCCATTTATGATAAAAACCCTCCAGAAAGTAGGCATAGAGGGAACTTTCCTCAACATAATAAAGGTCATATATGACAAACCCACAGCCAACATCGTCCTCAATGGTGAAAAACTGAAACCATTTCCACTAAGATCAGGAAGAAGACAAGGTTGCCCACTCTCACCACTACTATTCAACATAGTTTTGGGAGTTTTAGCCACAGCAATCAGAGAAGAAAAAGAAATAAAAGGAATCCAAATCAGAAAAGAAGTAAAACTGTCACTGTTTGCAGATGACATGATACTCTACATAGAGAATCCTAAAGATGCTACCAGAAAACTACTAGAGCTAATCAATGAATTTGGTAAAGTAACAGGATACAAAATTAATGCACAGAAATCTCTTGCATTTCTATACACTAATGATGAAAAATCTGAAAGAGAAATTAAGGAAACACTCCCATTTACCACTGCAACAAAAAGAATAAAATACCTAGGAATAAACCTACCTAAGGAGACAAAAGACCTGTATGCAAAAAACTATAAGATACTGATGAAAGAAATTAAAGATGACACAAACAGATGGAGAGATATACCATGTTCTTGGATTGGAAGAATCAACATTGTGAAAATGATTCTACTACCCAAAGCAATCTACAGATTCAATACAATCCCTATCAAACTACCACTGGCATTTTTCACAGAACTAGAACAAAAAATTTCACAATTTGTATGGAAACACAAAAGACCCTGAATAGCCAAAGCAATCTTGAGAAAGAAAAACGGAGCTGGAGTACTCAGGTTCCCGGACCTCAGACTATACTACAAAGCTACAGTAATCAAGATAATATGGTACTGGCACAAAAAAAGAAATACAGATCAATGGAACAGGATAGAAAGCCCAGAGGTAAACCCACGCACATATGGTCACCTTGTCTTTGATAAAGGAGGCAAGAATATACAATGGAGAAAAGACAGCCTCTTCAATAAGTAGTGCTGGGAAAACTGGACAGCTACATCTAAAAGAATGAAATTAGAACACTCCCTAACACCAAATAAAAAATTAACTCAAAATGGATTAAAGACCTAAATGTAAGGGCAGACACTGTAATATGAACTCTCAGAGGAAAACATAGGCAGAACACTCTATGACATGAGTCACAGCAAGATCCTTTTTGACCGACGTCCTAGAAAAATGGAAATAAAAACAAAAATAAGCAAATGGGACCTAATGAAACTTAAAACTTTTGCACAGCAAAGGAAGACATAAACAAGATGAAAAGACAACCCTCAGAATGGGAGAAAATATTTGCAAATGAAGAAACTGACAAAGGATTAATCTCCAAAATATATAAGCAGCTCATGCAGCTTAATATCAAAAAAACAAACAGCCCAATCCAAAAATGGGCAAAAGACCTAAATAGACATTTCTCCAAAGAAGATATACAGATTGGCAACAACCACATGAAAGGACGCTCAACATCACTAATCATTAGAGAAATGCAAATCAAAACTACAATGAGGTATCACCTCACACCCGTCAGAATGGCCATCATCAAAAAATCTACAAACGATAAATGCTGGAGAGGGTGTGGAGAAAAGGGAACCCTCTTCCATTGTTGCTGGGAATGTAAATTGATACAGTCACTGTGGAGAACAGTATGGAGGAGGTTCCTTAAAAAACTACAAATAGAACTACCGTATGACACAGCAATCCCACTACTGGGCATATACCCTGAGAAAACCGTAGTTCAAAACAAGTCATGTACCATAATGTTCATTGCAGCACTACTTACAATAGCCAGGATATGGAAGCAGTCTAAGTGTCCATCGACAGATGAATGGATGAAGAAGATGTGGCACATATATACAACGGAATATTACTCAGCCATAAAAAGAAATGAAATGGAGTTATTTGTAGTGAGGTGGATGGACCTAGAGTCTGTCATACAGAGTGAAGTAAAGTCAGAAAGAGAAAAACCAATACCATATGCTAACACATACAGATGGAATCTAAAAAAAAAGGTACTAATGAACCTAGAGGCAGGACAGGAATAAAGATGCAGACATAGAGAATGGACTTGAGGACGTGGGTGGGGAAGGGTAAGCTGGGACAAAGTGAGAGAGTGGCATGGACATATATACACTACCAAATGTAAAACAGATAGCTAGCGGGAAGCAGCTGCATAGCACAGGGAGATCAGCTCGGTGCTTTGTGACCACCTAGAGGGGTGGGATAGGGAGGGTGGGACGGAGGGAGACGCAAGAGGGAGGAGATATGGGGATATATGTATACGTAGAGCAGATTCACTTTGTTACACAGCAGAAACTAGCACACCATTGTAAAGCAATTATACTCCAATAAGGATGTTAAAAAAAAAAAAAGAGTAGCCCCCACTCGCCGCAACTAGAGAAAGCCCGCGTGCAACAACAAAGACCCAACACAGCCAAAAAAAAAAAAAAAAAAAAAAAAGAGTTCTGGAGATGGATGGTGGTGATGTTTGCACGGCGATAAGAATGTACTTACGGTACATTTAAAAATGCTTAAGACGGTAAATTTTGTGTTATGTGCATTTTACCACAATTAAAATTTTTTTTTGTTTGAAAGTGTGGGTTTCCAACCTCCCCACCCCAGATTCTAATTTCGGAACTCTGGGGTGGGGCTCTGGAACTTATATTTTCACAAGCCTCGCATGCAGATGGTCTCAATCAGGCTTTGGAACCAACTGCCTTGAGAACTCATGGTTCCTTCCAGGCTCACGTTCTCAGTCTATGACCAGGGCTCGGCTGCACAGTCAGATCTATACCTCCATGAGTACTGACATGTATACAGGACTGTCCCCCAGTCTGACCCCCCCTTACGTGGTCCCTGCCTCCCCTCCATGCTCCCCTGGGCCCTTCCCTTCCAGTCAGTGTGGGAGCGAGAGCTGGCACCCTCATACCCCTTCCACGTACCACACAGACATCTGACCCCCTGGCCAGGGCCTCCAGTCTCCCCTTTCTCTCCTGGCTTCACTGATTCCAATGACTGACCCCCAAACCCTCCCATTCACCTCCATTTTCCTGCCATTAGGGCACCATACTGCTTTTGTTCTCCAGCCTAGAAAGAAGACTCCTGCCAGCGTGGCCATGTGGCTACCCACACCCTGCAAGCTGGGCTCCAGAACGGTAGCATCTTTCGTTAGATGGAATCACGCCAAAGTTTGACATAATATGAGCCGGACCCTAAGTCCGACTTCCACATGGTTGCCTAGGGTACCTCTTTTTTTCCATCTACAGCATGGGGTGAACAAGGTCTGCTCTGGCACTTGGAAGGGCTGAAGAAGGTTTGGGGGAATAAAGGCACCACAGAGACCTAGGGCTAGGGCTGTCTGGGTCTCCACCCTGGCTGCCTGGGCCCACCAGCCCCCAGCCCGCTGCCCCCCTGCCATCCGGCCCCTTGACCATACCTGAAGCCCTGGGGGCAGATGCACGTGTAGCCGTTGACCGCATCCACGCACTGGGCCCCATGGCGGCACCTGTGGGCTGCGCAGTCATCACTGTTCACCTCGCAGAGCTTCCCGCTGTAGCCAGGGAGACATTCGCACCTGGAACACAGCAGAGCGAGGCTGTTCTACGGCCTGGCCGGCTTCTAGGCAGCCTCTCCTCTATCTACCCACGTAGCCAAGCCCCCGCAGCTCTTGCGGGCTCCCCAAAGCCTGGCCTGCAATGGGTCTCATGGGCTGTCCACAGCCTCTGGTCACTGCAATGCGATGTCTGCCTGCTTCACTTGGGGCATCTCGTCAGGAGCCGGCTGAGCAGTGCAGGGCTGCGGTCACACAGGTTTTGGCTTGGATCCACCACTGTCTACACAGAACTAACTAGTATTCAGCTTAGCCTGCCTTTGGGCCAGGCACTGGGCTAAGCACCTTTCACAGGGTGCCTTGCTAAGGCCTCCCAGCACCCTGTGAAGGAGGGTCGGTCCCCCTCCAATACCAGGAGGAAACCAGGGCTCCAGGAGAGCTGACCTGACTTCCCTGAGGCCCCCCGCCGTGGAACACTTACGTGTGTCGGTGATCCTTCGTTTACAGCTAACGTGCGTCAGACCCTGTTCTCGGTGTATCTGCCACTCACTGCCTCTCTGTGTTTCAGTTTCTTCACTTTTCAACGTGACTGATGATCAATAACTTCACCTCTTATGGTGGTTTTAAAAATCACGTGATACACTGTGCAGGGCACTAGATCCACACTGAGTAGACTGTCAGTGTGATATGTAGAACGTGCTGATAAGGATGCTCCCTTTGATTCTATTCTATTGTTTGTTCATTTTTTTCCCAGGGATTCGGGCTGATATAAGAAGGTGAATCCCTTTGCCCTTGATAAATGCCTCCTGGTCTCCAGGGGAGAGGAGGGGAGCTACTGACCCAACCCAGGCCCTGCAGGCTGACCCGCCCCTCCCTGAGGAGCATGGTGTCAGCAGCTCCATCACGTCCTTGCTGACCCAGGTTTCAGCCCGGCCAGAGACGGCTGCTGGCGGCGGGTCTCCCTAAACATGGGCCTGAGACACACATCTCTGGGCTCCTCTGTGTGGGGTGACAATGTGCCAAAGTCCCAGTAAGGAAGAGACCAAAGGTACCACCTTACTCACAGCGGCTTCAGCACACAGGCACGTGTGAACACAAATGCTTCCTGGCTCCTCTACCTCCGGCAGGGCCTGGAGCCTGCACACCTCTCTGAGCTCACTGGCTGAATTCTGCTGGGCGGAGTGTAAATAATAACCACTTATCCAAGTCAGAGGAGGAAGGTGGTACGGGCAGGTGAAAGTGTGGTACGGGTGGCCAGGCGGGGAGGGAAGTGAGACCTTGGAATACTTATGTGACGCAGGAGCCTGACTGGGGAAGCATCAGGACAAAGGGATAGTCGTCCCTCCGCCCTCTCCTCACTCCACCCCCTTTAGGATGGCTGGAAGTGGGCTGGAATCACAAGTAGATCCTGGCAGTGCTGGGGCTGCCAGAACATGGTGCATGCTGTGGATTCAGCATGGCAAGGTAAGATACTCAGGGGGTGGGGTGTCCCTGGGGGGGGGCGAGTTCTAGAATCTGAGGATTTACTGGACCTGCGTCCAAAAGCTGTGAAATCTGCTAAGATCTGACCTATTTACCTTTACTTATTTGATGGGTAAATTTGATATATGTGACCTATTGCTGCACCAGAAGGTGCAGACTTTCACGTCTTAGCCCCCATTCCTTCCTAGTCTTTTAAAGGAACAGCTTGGGGATGCCTTTTGGGGGCACATGCTCAATATATCACAAGCCAGGCCTCTGCTAGGGTTAAACCTGGCCCCAGCAGGCATCTGTGTTTGTGTCTCCTGAATTCTAAGAAGTACCTGCAGAGCAACTCAAGCTGTATGAGCTTCGCCAAGGCAATAATAGCTGCTCACTACTTATAGGGCAAAACCCAGCCTGATAAGCATGGAATTCGAGGCTACTGAGCAGGTCTTTATGAGGAATTAGGGAAGCCATGCTCCCTCGCAGATGAAGCAGTGGAAGTCTGGAGGAAGATGTGTTTACACCCTTCTTTTCTCCCAGTGCTACAGCCCTCTCCACACCTGCGCTTCCTAAACGAAACACCCAAGGGTCTTGTTAAAGTGCAGCTTCGGATTCAGGGAGTCTGGGTGGGGCCTGGGGATTAGCATTCCCAACAAGCTCCCATGGGATGCTGATACTGCTGGTTCATGGACCTTACCTCCAATAGCAAGGATCTCTACAACACTTCTTCATCGGCCAAAGACAAGCATCTGGTGGTATAACCTGCATTCCCTGTTGTCCTCAAACGTGTTGCCTTTATCTTTTTTCTAAAGCGTAAGGGTTATGCAATTTTGATACGCATTCGACCTACTGATTCTGGTCGAGGAGTTACCAAGTGACTTCAGTAGCCTCTGGATTTAGCCGAGGAATCAGTCAGGCCCGGATTGACTCGCATCCCTTTCTGTGCACGTGTGTCGGCTGCTTGCTCCACCTCACTGAGCCTCAGCCCCACACAGGAGGTGGGTAACAGTTTCTACATCCTAAGATTGCCGAGTGTTAAGTGAGATACTAATGCACAGTGCCTGACACAGAGGGAGTGTTCAGTGCATGCTAGCCACTGCCATCTTTGTTTCTGTTATTATTTTCAGTGTGTATGGGCAGTGTTCATTATTATTTTCAGGGCTTCAGTATATTATTACTTCAGTGTTCATGTCACAGATAGTGAGAGAGTACTATCTGTTGAATTGAGGCCTCATTAGAACAGCATACAAGGAAATCCCCAAGGATAAACATCTTCAAACTTGGGCAAAGGTTGCACTGACTGCACATCTCTTTTGTTAATGCCCCTGTTCCCTGCCTTGGGATGTGAGTTGTTATGGTGATGGCAGGGGAGGGCGATAACATTATAAAATGCTGCACTGGGAGAAGGGACTTTTCATTTAAATGCATCTCAAAAAGAAAAAAAAAAAAAAAATCAACATTATTGAGTTGGCCTGTAGACCTCTTCAAGATTCTAAGAGACACTGTGCATAAATATACCAATATTATCTCAAGATTTTGAAAGCGAGACTGGTTTCTATATTCTATATTGTCCTTGAACTCAAGGGGTCTTGGTTACAGTAGAGAGAGTTTCCAGGGACAAGCAGTAGAGAATCGTGATCTCTGGTCCTAAGTCTGTAGCACCCCATTCCCAGACCTGCACCCTGGACCACTTCTGACCAGTCTCCAAGCTCGCTATGCTCGTCCAAGCCAGCTTCCTCTGAGCTTGCCGTCCACTCAGCCTGGAATGCCGCTGATCTCCTTTCCATCTGCAGATATTCTACCCACTCTTCACAGCCCAGATGCCCAGCCGCCATCACTGCCCCTTTAGGTGCACGCAAAGCACTTTTCCTGTCAGTCCAGCCGGCGCAGCTTTGGGTTCGGGTTTGTGTTTTAAGTATCTCTTCCTGCCCCTCTGCTCTTCCTTCAGTTGAAGAGCAGCCCTGATCTGAAGTCAAATCCTGGAGTGGGAAAAGCAGGGTCGGGGGGAGGCATCCCTCGCTCTTACTCAAGCTCAGGGAACTCGATTACGTGAAAGCCCACCCAGCACATCTCCGAGGGGACAGGGGCAGGTAAGGCAGACTTGAAGGAGGGTGCACGCACCAAAGGACCGCAGCTTCCTTTGCTCCCTCTGAAGCCAGAGGCCCTACACGCCTCTTGCGTTTTCCCTGGTGGTAAGCTCTAGGCTTGGGATATCCAGATAGAAAGGGAAAACACAGGAAGAGGTGCTTATGGCCCCCTCTCACCCTCACCTACTCTAGACTCTTCTCCCACCTGTGGGGCTCCCTCTTTCTCGCAGTGCATCCCAACTCCACCCATTCTTTGGTGGTCACTTCACATCCCACCTCCTAGGGTGGGGGGGCTTCCCTCTCTGCTCCAGAAAGTTCTCCCCACCCCCCTCCTCAGAACCCCAGCAGCACTCAGAGCCAGAATCTAGGGCCCTAGGAATTGCTTCTTTTCTTAACCTTTGTTTTGTGTCAACTTTTCCTCCCCCAGGCCCACGGCAAGGGCCTTGGAGGGAGGGAATTGAAAACCTTCTGCGCTACCCACTGCCTTCAGTACAGTGAGGATCTGGGGCCTGAGGGAGAGGGAGAGGGAACAGAGAGGACAGACACAGAGGCTCAGAAAGAGAGACAGAGAGAGACTAAGAGGATTAGACCATGACTGGTCAGAGATACGGAAAAGCACACGGTAACAAACAAGTAACAGGCAGAAAGAGAGAGAGAGGAAAAAAAAATTTGGAGGGAGCCCCAGAGTCTCTGCCTCAAACGCAGACTGCTGGAGCCGAGTCCTTGGGACCCGGTGCTGGGCATGAATGAGCCTCACCTGAATCCTCTGTCCAGGGAGACGCACTTTGCCTCATGCTGACAGAGGTTCATCCCGGGCACGCAGTGGTCGATCACCTCGTCGCACAGCTCACCTGGTGGGGCGGGTAGAGAGAACCCAGGCATCAGGGAGGGTACCGGGGGGATGCCCTGGCTAGAAGTCAGGTTCATCCAGCCCCTGGCCAGGAGGTCACGGGTATCAGGGGCCCTGCATTTGCTCTTTTGGCCTCTCCTTTCTCCTGTGCCTCAGCCTCGATTTCCCTGGCAGTGACCATGGGAAGACTGCAGGACCTCACCCGGGCACGGTCACTGCACCACCATTTGGCTATCTCACTTGATTATTTAGGGGCGGCGGCAGCTGAAATCGCCCCTGACCTTGGGCTATGCTTATTTATTTTTCCTTCCACACCCCTGTGTGGAGCACCTCCCGTGTGGCAGCACTGTGCTGGGGACACAGCCGTGACCTGGCCCTGTCCCCCCCTCCCCGCCATGGCTAGTGCGGGGGGTGTATCTACAAATAAGCAGGGAATTAATTACAACACAGAGCTGTCAGCGCGATGACGGGAAAACTCAGTGGAAACCCAGAGGCTTCCTGGGGGGAGGGGACAGCGCTTAGCTCAGTCCACCTGTTACAGATAAGTAATAAACCCCTTGGATTTTCTCAGAGAAGAAAATATGGAAAGAATGTGTAGTTCTGGTCTCTGGATACATCCCCTTTGAAATTCACAGTGTCAGAAAATGCCTAACAGGCCATAAATACCCAAGGATATAAGCCCTGAAATACTCACACCACCTGAAAGTGTGTTTTGGGAATGTGGGAGGTAAGATAGGACGGCAGGGGAGAGGTCCCTGGCAGATGCATCTCTGAGCTTTGCGCTTCCTGACATTCCACCCCCGGCAAGCCAGGTGGAGAGGGATCTAGAAGAAACAAACTTCCAGCCAGGGAGGTTCATTCAGAGGACAGGCGTGGGCAGGAGAAGGCAGCCTGGGCCGCGGCTCCCAGGGGACAGGGCAGAGGACGGTCCTGAGGACGGCCGGGGAGTAAAAGCATGACAGGCATAGCCCCGGCGTCTGTTCTCTATTGTGGTGAGGATAAGCTGCCTCCCACCCCGTCCTCATTTTGCCCTGGTCTCTCAAGACCACAGAGAGCACTGTGTGCCTTCTAAGCCTCCCCTCATCTGCTGGAGACACCCAGAGAGGTGTCTGTGGGGGACACTTTTTGACGTTTTCTGGCACAGACAAAACCACTACGTCCCATTCTCGGGAACAAAGTACAACAAGCCAGAACTGCACCCCGGTCCACGGCAGACGCAGGCAGGAAACCGCCTTAATGCGTGTTTCCTCAGCTCCCTCCACCCGTGCCCATCTGCCCACCGTCAGTTCAGACCCGAACGGAGCATGACCACAATGCAAGTGCCTCTCTGCTGGCTTCAGACACTACCAGGGCTCCAGGGTTCCCGAAGGAGGGGATGAACATGAACCAAGTGAACAGACAGCTGAAAGGGCCCTGGGGAACTGTTCAAAGTGGGGAGGAGCTAGTGATTTGCAGGGGGTGGGGTGAGGGGTGGCAGAGGATAGACAAGCTAGAAGAGAGAGGGCCTCTGGGAAGCCCCTCATAACACAGTACCAGGTTGTGGGGGTTCAAGACTTTGTCCAGAGGGGGACAGGAGGTGGAGTCTTTGGAAGAAGCTAAGAAAGTGGTACTCTTCGAACGCACGACAAGCCACAGCCTGCACACAGCAACCCGCGCTCGGGCGTCAGGGGGCTCACCTGTGTAGTCTGGTGGGCACACACACACATAGGTGTTGATCCCGTCCACACAGGTGGCGTTGTTCTCACAGTCGCTGTCCTCGCAGTCATCCGGGTTGATCTCACACCGCTGCCCCTCGAAGCCCAGGGGGCAGGAGCAGCTTTGGGGATGTGTGGGTGCGAAGAGGGGAGCCGTGGATCAGGGAGAGGGGTGGGTTGGAGCGGCAGAGGGGAAGGTGGAAAATAGAATCAGTCAGGTTTCTCCTCTGGATGGAGGTCCCGGACAGCACGGTGGACCCCGGAGGTCTTGGGGTCCTGAGCAGGAAGACCCTTAGGAGCCTAAGAGGGCATTTCATCTAGCCCCCTGTCTCTGGGCAGTATTCCGTCTTCCCTGGCCCTGGATGGCTACCTCGCCAGGGGGCAATTCCCACCGGCCGTGCCTCTTTCACCACTCCCCCAGCTGGATGTAGTTTCCTGGGTAGAGCTTAAATTCCTCCAGCTGTCTCCGAAGCAGCCTCTGGATAGGCTCTTTTGCAGACAAGGAGAGAAAGAGCAAAACGAACCCTGCCCTTTTGGTGATTTTCTACTCAAGGGCAGCCTTTGTATCTGGAGCAGGACATAGATCAGGCTCCGCAACCAGGTTTCTTAGGAGTTAAATTCTGCATCTCAGTTTCCTTATCTGTTGACTGGTGCTATTATCTACCCCCTGCAGGGTGGCTGCAGGCATTAAATGAGATTATACAAGTAAAACGCTTAGAAGGGTACACAGCACAGCGAAAACGTTCAGAACATGTTAGCTAGATTTAGTTCTAGGCGAAACTACCCACCTCCTTAACCTTATTCTCAGGGATGCCATTTCTCCCTGTCAGGTATTCCTGCTACTTCTGAGCCCCCTCCAGCTTCTGGGGGCTGAGGGAAGGGTGGGAGGGCCCCTCTCCTGCCAACACTTCCTGGTGAGCCTGGCTGAACACACCATTGATCAGTATGATGCATTTCCTTAACCTGTCTCTGGAGTGTTAAACCTCTTGGATAAAAACCTCAACCCCCGTCCTCTGCCCGACCTTGGCCACTTCCCCAGGATTAGACATGCAAAGTAAGTCAGCACTGATGAAGTCAGTTCTGGGCAGCTGACAAGGGGCGAGGGGGCGCTGGGAGGATGCAGGTGGGAGCCAAGCGTTTGATTAAAGAAGCGCTGCAGGGAATCTCACTCTTTCTGTGGCCCATCCCCCCTCGTCAGGGACCGGGGACATACACCCCCATCCAGGGACGTGTGTTCCAGCCTCAGACCTGGAATTCCAGGCCTCTCTCCATTTCAGAGACTGCTCTGACTTGGGCGTTTAGCTAAACAACGACACTAAACTAATAGGAAGTGGATTTTTGTGGTCCTAGAATCCTAAATAACCTCCTTCCCTCTGTGACCTGAAAACTGGGTCACATTCTCTACAAAAGGCTGGGGGAAGGGTCCTTGGGCCTGAGCTCTGGAGCTGGAGCAAAATGACTCTAAGTCCTTTTTGTTTCTCTTAGGGACCCTGGCCATTCATGAAAAAGGTCATTTCTTCAGAGCCAGACAGTGGGTAGTTTTCCAAAGATCTTAAACCACAGTGTTGCCTATTTTCCTCAAATGAGTTACTCTGACTCTCCCCGGAGCCTTAGGACTGCATAAACGTGGGGTGAGAGTGACTGGTCAGGAGAGCAGGGGTTGCTCATGGACTGGACAGAGGGTGGGAAAGAGGCTAAAGTTTTTTTCTGTCCTCGCTGGAAACCTTACGGGAGGTAGGGGCGGTGGAGGAGGTGGAGCTATCAAGGATATCTCAAGAGCAATGTGTGAGCTGTAGGGACAGCTCTCTTTTGAGCAGAGGGACAATGTGTCAAGACTGGAGAAGCATCTGTATGAAGAGGTAGGTGATGCTTCCAGAATTCTGACCAGTAAGAGCTGTCACGGATTGAATTGTGTCCCCTCGAAAAGATATGTTGAAGTCTTAACCTCCCCCCCTCACCCAGTACTTGAGAATGTGACCTAATTGGGAAACAGAGTCACTGCAGCTGTCATTAGTTAACTGAAGACCACATTCACCGGAGTGGGGTGGGCCCCTAATCCTATATGACTGGTGTCCTTATAAGAAGACGGCCGTGTGGAGACAGACACAGGGAGAAGGCCATGTGCAGCTGAAGGTAGACATTGGAGTGATGCAGCTGCAGGCCAAGCAATGCCAGAAACTACCAGCAGCCACCAGAAGCCAGGAAGGGGCGAGGAAGAATCCTCCCTTGCCGGTTTCAGAGGGAGCACGGCCCTGCTGACACCTTCAGTCTGGGCTTCTGACTTCCAGAGCTGTGAGAGAATCCATTCTTTGGTTCCAAGCCCCCCAGCCTGCAGTACTTTGTTATGGCAGCTCTAGGAAACAGATAGAGGAGGGACAGGGGAGCAAAGCCTCCGTCTGAACAGGTGGCTCTCCCTTTGCCAGCCTGCCAGGTGCTGCCCTGAGGGGCAGTGCTTTCCTGCTGCTTGAGGATCCCACACGAGCTATACCATCCCAGGGGTGTGGGCCACATTGCCTGCACCCTCCACCCCATTTTCCTAATCCTGTGGGTCTGGGCCATTTTCCTCGAAAATTAAGTCCTAAAAATATTCCCAGTTCCTTTGAAATCCTCAACAACGGAGGGTGGAGACGGGTCCTTCCGCTCACCTGCAGAGAGGGGAGCAACACAGTCGCCTGCAGGGGGCGCTCCTGTCCCTTGCCGAGGCGGGTCCCTGGGCTCGGGGGTGGCGGTGAGGGGGCACAGGGGGCGGGGGCAGAGCCAGGCTCTCAGTCCTGGAGGCGTGATTTCGTGGCTGAGGCCAGGTGGCCACCACCGTGAGATTTCTGGATAGTTTCTCCCCCCACCCCCCGGGGCTCTCAATGGGTGAGAGTGTGTTGTTTGGCCCGCTCCAGGCAGGAAAACGAACTCTGCCTTGCATTTCACATTTTAAGAGTTGATTCTGATGGGGCTGGCTTGACAGATGGACACGTGGGCGGCTGGGTTCCCTGGGGAGAACCCAGAGCCCAAAACCTGATGTCCTTCGCAGAACACGCAGCAGCCCTGGTCAGAGGGCTTTTGACAATTCATTGTTTGCAACCTGAGCGCTAAGACCTCCGCACACAGCTTGCCACCAGATGCCCCCCCCTCTACCGCCTGACCCGCTGGCTCACTGGGGGTGCCAAATGGGCCAATTCCCACTGGTCTGCTTTGCCAGGGTAGGGCCCGGGAAACTGGACATGTGCACACAGCTGGGAGGGTGGGAAGCAGGGAGGGGCCTGAGGTTTGGCAGAGCGGCAGAAGGCCCGCTCCAAGGACAGGGGTGAGAAGAACCTTAAGTGCCTTCTACCCCTTTTCTTCCTGAGCTCTTAATGCCAGGGAGGAAAGAGGTGAGGCTTGGAGACTCAGGAATGAGTGTCAGGATGTGGGACCTAGAGCCAATCAATTCTGTGCCTCAGTTTCCTCATCTGTTAAACGGGGATACTACCTACTTGTACCGGATAGGGTCCTCGTGAGGATTTAAATGAGGCTTAGAGTCACTGCCTGGCACATAATGAGCATGTAATCAATGTCACCTATTATTATTGCTTTTTATAACACAGAAAAGAGTGGTGGAATTACCAGGCTGGCAGGTCTTTGAGCCATTATCCCATCCTACCCTGACTTTAGCCAGCAACTGTGGCTTCCCTCCTCCTGGCTCTGGAGACGGACTACCTGAATTCAGATTCCTGTACCAACGCTCACTGTGTAACTGCGGACAAACGATTTATCCCTTTGATGCCTCGACTCCCTTATCTATACAAGAGGGATAGTAGTAGCTGCCTTATAGGGGGTGAAGAGCCTTGGAGTCATTCACATAAAGGGCTGGGCAGAGTGTGGGCACACACGGGAGGCACATAGCTGTGCTCCCTCAGCCTGCCCCAAGAGCCTGACCATGAAGACTGAGAGGAGGGAGGGCCCAAGGGTGAGCTGTTACCTGAACCCATCGCTGTGGCTCTCGCTCAGGTGGCAGGTGCCTCCGTGCAGACAGGGGTTCTGGAGGCAGGTGTTGATGGGCACAGTGCAGTCTTTTCCCTGAGGAGCAGGAGAGAGAGAAGCGTGTGGTTAGGGAGGCTTTCTGTGGCTGCCATGACGAAGAGACCCCTGTGGGTTCCCAGCGTCCTTTGGGATGAGGTCAGGGAGATGGAGGCCCTCCCTGGGACAAGCCTGCTGTGTGACCCAGAGAAAGCCCGAGGGAGCCCTTGCCTTTGGTCACTCCACAGTGAGGAGGGGAGGAATGCTGAACTCAGGAGTCTGGGCCCCAGCTTCACTACTTCCCAGGCTTCACCCGCTTTTCGCCATCCTACCCTGTAGGCCGAGAGCAGGGGCTTTGGAGCCAGGAAGACCTGGTTTCATATTCCAGCTTCACCTCTTCCTGGTTGCCTGACCTTGATCTTGTATAATAAGCCTTTTAACTTCTACAAGCCTACCTTATAGAGCTCTTACCAGAATTAAACTAGACCTTAATATTACATAACACATTTAGCACATAGTAGGCATTCTATAAATACCAGTAGATGATATTATTACTAGCCTCACTGAGGCTTAACGGTAATCCACAACTTGTAGGGTGGACTACGGCTGAAGTGTGGTCCACAGACCTTGGCCCTGTAAAGTGACAGCCCCCCCCAGAGAGTCATCTTTGATTGGTCTGGACGTGGGCCCAGGTGTTGGCATTTACGCTCAAGTTCTGCAGGTGATCCTGATGTTAGGCCAGATTGAGATCTCCTGTGAGACAGAGTTTTGGGTGGAGTGGGATTCCTTTGGAGCAGGCCCCCCTGAAGGGGACGTCTGAGCGTGTGTAGGTGGGGAAGAGCGTGTGGGCAGAAGGAATGGCGAGGGCAAAGGCACTGTGCAGGGAGGCTGAGACAGAGACTGGACGTCAAGACCCAGCGTCCCACGGAGCATTGGTCCTCTGCGTCCAGCTTCTCCCCTGGGACCCGTGGATCAGTGCTGCACCCAAGCCTTTGCCGGCGGTCCTCAGGAGGACCCGGGGGGTCTGGTCGCGGCAGGGAGGCATATGCTGCGTTTGTTTCTGGGCTGTGGGCTCGGCATGGGCGCCGTGCCAGGCGGGGGTGATCGCGGGAGTCCTTCCACTGCCACACCACCTGCTCGCCATCTGCCTGAGAAAATCCTCTTCCCTGCTCTGCTGCCGCCGCCAGTGCCCGTGAGGAGCGGACCGGGCTCTGCCGAGTAGTGCCGCCTTCTCACTTTCTCCACGCCGAGCCTCAGGCCCTGTCTCCAGCAATCTGAAGGCAGGCCCGCGTCTGTCTGCTTCCTCTTCGAGCCCCGTCACCAGCAAAGGGCCCGTCAGAGGTTTCTCGGAGGGGACACGGAGAATGCAGTTCGGGCTGGGGTCTGGTTGTATCCTAAACCAGAGCAACGTGGGATCCCTTTCAGAAAGTCCATGCGTCGATGGAAACTGCGAGGCTCATTCTCACTGTCATTTACGGAGCACATCTTCTGTTCCAGGCCTCATGCTAAGTTTTATATTGCGTATAATGTTCGTAACACCCCTGCAAGGTTGGTATGGTTGTTATTACCCGCATTCTAACAGAGGGAAGGCAGACTTGGAAAGTGAGGTGCTGCACCCACGATCGCACAGCAGTAAGTGGAACAGGCACAGCTGAACCCGACATCCAGTCCAAAGCCAGCGCCGGGAACTGCAATGCTATGCTGGGCACTTATTCTGCCTCTCAAAACACGGGCTCTGCAGTTAGGCCAGTCTGAATGCACGTGTTAGTCCGGCTACTGCTACGTGCCTTGAGGGAATTACTAGCTCTCTCTGAGACTTTTTATCATCTGTAAAATGGGAATAATGATGCCTACCCCGACGGAGTTAAGGAATGATTAGAAATCACACTCATGTAAGGCACCTGGCAGGTAATGGTAGCTCCATGATTAAGAGCTATTCAGAGAATGACCGTGCTGATCATGGGGCTCTGAGATAGAGCTGAATGTGGGTAATTAAAAGACTTTTTCAGGTCTTTGGTTGTTGCTAGGTAGTTCACGTGTGTGCACGTGCGTGCGTGTGTACGTGTATGTGTGTGTGTGTGTGTGTTTGTAAAGGTTGTGGCTGGGGCTTCTAGCTTCCTTTACAGGAAACCAGCAACATGCCACCTGTTCCTGATGGCCCACTCCACACCCTGGTATTAGGGACCGGCATACACGGTAAAGTTAAAAGGCATCCATATGACAGCTGCTGAGTACTTACTGAATGTTAGGTACTGTCCTAGGTGCGCTGCATGTGTTTCTGTACACTTGATTCTCACAGCAAGGCTGTGTGGCGGGTCCTAGTGTGCAGATGGGAGGCCTGAGGTGCAGCCACTGGCCATCACCACCCAGCTAGGGAATGACAAAGCCAGGATCCACACCTGCTGCTCTGTGTAAATCCACAGCCTGAGTTTTCTCCACTGAATTCATACAAGGGAGTTTGAGGATCCAGGCGTTTGAGCATGTTTGCTTAATTTCTAGTCTTCCCCTACAATATGAATGTGTGTGTGTACGTGTGTGTGTGTGTGTGTGTGTGTGCAGGGGCGTGGGTCTGGGACTCCTGTGGGTGTGAGGCCTGGGGTTGGCTGCCCGGGGCAGGGAGGCTGTCCGACTGGCCTCATAGGAAGCCTTTGGCTCTCTTGTCTCAGGCTCGGGCCCATAGGTGGCACTCTGACACTGTCTATTGGAAGCACAGCTACAGCTGAGAAAGCCACCAGGGAGCCCTGTTCCCCAGCGGCAGTCTGCCCCTCAAGCTTGTCACTATACACATAAATCCCCCTGGGGACAGGACACCCGGGGATGCCAGCTCCCTTCTGCTCAGCTTTACCAGGTGGGGGCATCAGACAGGCTGGGGACTGTCTTGAAATTCTCGACGTGCCTAGTGCCTTCAGATGGGTGTCCTGGGATGGCTGGAATCTGGGAAGCCAGGAGGGTCCTGGGGAAGAGGACCCAGTCACGGCTTTGCTGACCCCAGTGAGGTGCAGTGAGGGGTTCAGCTACTCGGGAAACCTCCAGGCGAAAGTGGGGGGGGGGCTTTGGAATCATGTAGCCCTGGGTCTTAACCCAACCCTACTGCTTACAAGCTTGGGCCAGTAAGTCAAGCCCTTTCAACAGTCTGAGGCTCAGTTTCCACATCTGTAAAATGGGAATCAATAAGTCCTTCCTCACAGGGGAAAAGATGACTAAAATGCCAAGCAGAGTGCTTGGCACATCATCCATACTTTATAGATGTTAATATGGAGGCAGGATAATGTGTTCTAGATGCTGCTGGGTGAGAAGAAAGGAGGGAAGGGTTATTCTGGAATTAGCCTGGATTTCTGGGGAGGACAGGAGAACTGGGATCTCTATCCCAGCCCTTGTTGGCTGATCTGAGCCTGTCAACCGTGAAGGCTGGCCTTTTAATCCTCCATCCCTGTATCCTCCTCAAGCTGGCACCAGTGCTTCCAGGGCTGGCTGTCTTGAGGACAGGGAAGGGAGGTGGGGGGAGGACCTGGGAATCACCCTGGAGGGAGGTCAGTGTGGTGGGTTCAAGGGATGCCTCTACTTGGAGGTACTTTAACTCTCGGAGACTTAATTTCCCCACGTTCAAGAAAGAAAATACAAATATTACATTTCCTCCTTATCTCAATGCATCACTGTTGAGACTATATGGGGTCCTCTATGATGGATGTGAATGTGATACAACTGGGCAGCCCCCAGCAGTGCTGGGGAGAACGGGAGAGTTGCTGGCAAATGCTGTTTTGGAGTGACCTGTAAAGTGGACTTATCCACTGTCCTTGGAGAAGGGAGAGCCAGCAGTGAACAGTGCCCCTCCCTGGACCGTGGGTGGTAGGGGGCGGGGCCTCCTGTCGTACCTTGTAGCCATAGGGGCAGGCGCAGCGGTACTGCTCCACGGGATCCCGGCTACATGTCCCGTTGTTCTTGCACGGGCTGGAAAGGCAGGCATTGCACTTGGCCACAATGTTGATGTCCACTGGCCCTGGACAGCAAAACCAGAGTGTTGGTGGCAGGTGCCCAGGTAGGCTCACTGTCACACCTCCCTCCTCCTCTGCTCTGGCCCCTCCCTCAGTCAGCTACCAGCCCCTCCCATCTCTGTCCAGAGGGCAGCTGGCCCTCCGCAGCCAGCACATCCAGTCCAGCTAGAGTCCCATTAATTCAGCCATCATCCAGAGAGGAAAAAAAATCACAGCGGGACATCATTCAGAAGCACTTCTCAGTCAAATCAATTACTGTAATTAGCCTGATCTGATTCTGGTGCTAATCTGCAAACAATGCACCATAATTAGAAACCCCTTGTGTACCTCTTTATGTTCGGGGAGCTCTGGGCCCAGGCTCCATTTTTCCTTCCCCAAACACCCCACCTCATAGTCTGTGCAGGGCTAAGGAGGGCACAGTGCCTAGGCCAAAGGCACACATCACATAGGAAGTTCTCCTTGTAGAACCCTTGAGTCGGCAGGAAGAAGTAAGAAATGGGCCCGGAAGACACAGCAACGATGCTGATGAGGGATCACAGTTTCAACTGTGTCCTGCTCTCCTCAGCCATCAGGGCTGGAGGGAGGGAGGCCACGTCCCTACACAGAGCTTTGTAACGGGCTGCGCTGCCGCTGCAGCCAGTGTTGACAAAGCCCTGGATAATCAGGCCCTATTTCATGTCAGGACTTTAAATGATCCTAGGATAACAGTCATCAGTTTGGAGATTGGGTTGACATTGACCGCAGGGTGAGTCTGACCATTTGTGGGTGGGGTGAACAGAATGGGCTGATTGAGAACCAATGCCAGCTGGCTCAACTCTGGCTTCACCGAAGAACAGAGACATCGTCTGTTCCAGGGAGGCTATGCGTTCCAGGGACACAATGAAGTTTTAAAGGTAAAGTGTATCTGTAAATCAGAATAAACATTGAGGCCTTAGGTGATGAGCAAAGGACGTTAACAGGCAAATGTGTAGTACAAACGGAAAGTAAATTTTTGGGAAAAAAAATAGTTCCCCCAATAATCAAAAACAAAATATGAGGGGATATAATATTTTACCTATTGAATTAGCAATGATTACAAAATGAGATAAAAGAATGCAAGGGTCTGATGAAAAATGCACTCAAACGATGCTCCTGGGAGTGAAAATTGGTTACAACCCTTTCTGGAAATCAGTTTGGCGTTAAGTGTGAAAACCTTAGCAATGACCATATACTTTATTTAAGGACATAATTTTAAATAGAGAAAGACATTTATGCAGCCGTGGTCAGAAAAAAATTGGAAATACTCTGAAAGTTCAAAACCAGGAACTGGTTAAAGAAGTTATGATGGAGTGTTACAGCTTGGTGGTTGAGACCATGCACTCTGGAATCAGAAAGACCTGGAATTCTCTTAACTGTGTGATCTTGAGAAGTCATCTAACCTCAGTAAGCCTCGGTTTCCTCATTTTTAAAAGTAAGAATACTACTAAAGTAGACTCCACAGAGGTGCTGGGGAATTAAATAAACGACTCCATGGAAAGTGAGAATTAAATGAAATAATACATGAAAAAGTGCCTAACATAATGCCTGCCACATAATAAGAACCCAGTAGTAGTTTATCATAATATTCATGCAGTCAAATCAAAATCTCATGTGCCCAAAATGTGCTGTAGTAAAACGCTTATGCTCTAAGATGGTTGGGTAAAAAATGCAGGTTAGGGCTTCCCTGGTGGCGCAGTGGTTGAGAGTCCGCCTGCCGATGCAGGGGACGCGGGTTCGTGCCCCGGTCCGGGAAGATCCCACATGCCGTGGAGTGGCTGGGCCCGTGAGCCATGGCTGCTGAGCCTGCGCGTCCGGAGCCTGTGCTCCGCAGCGGGAGAGGCCACAACAGGGAGAGGCCCGCGTACCGCA